TTCGGTCCCGGACGCCGCCCGCTGCAGCGTCCGGGTCTGGCCCCAGGGCTCGGCCCCGGCTTGGCCTCGGCGCGCCTGGCTCCGGCCACGCCCCTTACGCGGGCCCGCCCCTAGGCCACGCCCCCCGAAGTCTCACCCCGCCCCTTCCCTTAAAGGCACAGGCTTCCTGGGAGATCCTGAGGGTCTTCCTCACTCTGCACCCTCCTCGCAGTCATCACCCTGTCGGCTCTGCTTTCGCAGCTAAAACAGAAGCTGAGTTGAAACCTGTGTGACCCGAATGAGTCCCCTTCACCACCATGGGCCAGATCTGCCTGACACTCAGCACCTCTGTTTGGAAGGCCTAGGGCCAGGGTGGTGTCTCCTGAAAAAAACGCACAACCATTGAGTCTCGGTTTTATTGGGGTAACTTACTGAGACTATAATCCCAGAGACAGTTCCTCAGAGAGCTCAAAGAGGTAGGGGAGGACCCAGTATATATACGAATTTTTTGGCTGGAGGAATACAAATTATCAAGCATACATCTTGGTAAAAGATTACTGCTAATCACAAAAAAAAAAAGAAAGAAAGAAAAAGGAGCTCTCAAGTTAATGATTTTAGTGCTTCTCTTTGCATGAGAAAATGCAAGAATCTGAGGTCATTGAAATTCTTCCTTAGATTTGCATCTTAACTATCTGGGGACCATGCATCCAAAATACAGAATGCTGCATCCTATTTTTCTGCTGCCTGAATTCTCCCTTGGGTGAGCTGCTGGTGAGAGGCTGCAGTGGGTTGTGACTTGACCCTTTGCATAACTGGAAGGTGAGCGAAAGTCTGTTCTTTTTGTCTACAGTGGCAGCTCCAGGAACAGTGCAAGTATCTGGGGATAGTGTGAGCAGAAGTAGTAGGCTTCAAGGGGAACTTAAAAAAGGAAAGAGAATGAGAATTAGAACTTTCAGTCTTAGCGGAAGAGGCCCAGAGACTTTGAAGATTCCTTAAGGGCACCTGAGTCTCACCTGCAACCCAGTGTAAGTTCCTTCTTGATCCTAGCAGCCCTGGGCAAACAGTCACACCCCACACCTACTTGAACCCCCCAGGGGTAGGGTGCTCATTACCTCCCATGGTAACCAACAGACAGTCCCATACATGCACCCCAATGTTCATAGCAGCACTATATACAATAGCCAAGACTTGGAAGCAACGTATACGTCCATTGACATGACTGGATAAAGAAGCTTTGGTATATTTATATAATGGAATACTACTCAGCCATAAAAAAGAATAAAATAATGTCATCTGCAGCAACAAGGGTGGACCTGGAGATCGTCATTCTAAGTGAAGTAAGCCAGAAAGAGAAAGAAAAATGTCATATTGAGAAAGGAAGGGGGCAGGGCACAGCCATTCAAGGGATGATACAGCAGTTAATATCGAAATGGTGGAAGATTCAACCCCCAATAGGCCTTGAGGCTCAAGATGGTGGGAGATTTGACTTCTAGCAGATCTTGAGCTTCATTATACATCCATTGTAATATATTAACACAGTGAATAACATGCCCACAGGCACCATGACAGTCCCAAGGCTGGCCACAAAAGGTCAAAGAGTGGGAAATGGCCAACTTCCTGGGAATCCCAGTCCCTTCCCCAGGCTAGTTAAACTGGTCTTTCCACTTATTAGCATATGAAGCCACTGAGTCCATAAAAACTGGCAACGCACCTTCTCTCTCCCACTTCGGAGAAGGCCCACACTCTGTCTATGGACTGTGTATCTACTTTTACTCTAATTTGAGCAGCCAACCCCCACGCCTCGTGGCCTTTCTCTTGCCTTTCGATGTATCTCTCTAAATAAATCTACCTTTACTCAACTGTGGCTCACTCTTGAATTCTTCCCTGCGTGAAGCCAAGGACCCACGCTTGGCGGGGCACGTCCCAGGGGCTCGACCAAGGCCTGGGCCATGGCCCCCCTCACGCCCCACATCCGTTTTTCCTGCATCAATATGATATCACTCATTTGTGGAATCTAAAAAAAGAAGACAATAATGAACGCATTTGCAAAACAGAATCAGACTCGCAGACAGAATAAACAATCTTATGGTTACCAGGAGGAAAGGGAGTGGGAAGGGATAAATTTGGGAGTTTGAGAATTGCAAATATTAACTACTATATACAAAAATAGATAAAAAACCAAATTTTTTCTATGTAGCACAGGGAGCTACATTCAATACCTTGTAATCATCTTTAATGAAAAAGAATATGAAAATGAATATATGTATAAATATGTATGACTGGGACATTACGCTGTAACCAGAAATTGACACATTGTAACGGACTATACTTCAATTAAAAAAAAATTATGGGCACACATACACAAAAGCCAACAACAGACAGTCCTAACTGTAAGGAAATGTTTTCACTGCCATTGCTGGGAATCTGCCTAAGAAAAATCCTTCCAGAAAGACTTGGCAATTGATAAATGTCAATCTTAAGAACCTTGAAAACATGTGACTTTTGTGTCACTGGTTGCTCCTGGAGCTCTTCTGAAGAGGAGAGCATTCGGACCATGTTCTAAGCCCAAGATTGTTTACTACAGCCACCTTCATGATTGGGCAAAAATTGGACCTAAATCACCAACTACAGTGGACTGAGTAAATAGTTTGTGAATCTCCTATGAAATATTGTTGTGCAGCCATTTAATACCCTGTTGTTCTTTCTTCTCCTCCCCTCCCTCCTCCTCCTGCTCTGCCTCCTTCAGAGAGGTGAAATCTGCTTTTCTAGAACATGTTCACCTGAGTTCTAGCACTGCCTTGTGGAAGCAGTGTAGACAGAAGTGTACAGTGTACAGAAGTCAGAAGAACTCCGAACTAATTGAGGGAAGAAGGGATGAGGCCAGCCCACCCCAGCTTGTCGAGTCGATTTCTTCCTGGTCCCTCCCCAGCCTTGTGCTGTAGAACTCTCTCCCATCACAACATCTGGTTAGTCTCCACCCAGATATTATGGATGCGCTCTGCTTCGTCTCCTGACGGAGGCTTATAACTTATTTCCTTGCTTGCTTAGTTTTAAAAAATGTTTTATTGTGGACTATATGATCCTTGCAAAATGGGGCCAAAATTATTTAATTGACTGAAATAAAAATGCGCAACATAAAAGTTGTGAGTTGAGTTTAATTGGAGGAACTTACTGGGAACTATAGCCAGAGAGAGAGCCTCTGAGAGGGCTCTGAGGAACTGCTCCCAAGAGGTAAGGGAGAGCCGGCATATATATGAGCTTATTGAGGGGGATACTTTAAGTAGGCAACCATACAACTCAGTAAAGTTAACTGCTAATTGCAAACAAACAAACAAACAAAAAAAAAACCAAAAAACATCCCAGAGATCTCAAGTTAATGATTTTAGTCCTTTTCTATGTATGGGAAAATATAAGAATCTGGGATCATCGAAATTCTTCCTTAGATACACATCTCCACTAACTAGGGATCATATGCAGAATGCTGCACCCAGTCTTTTCCCACATCCTGAATTTCCCTCAGGGTGCACTGTAGGTGGGTGACTGCAATAGCTAATAGCTTGGTCCTTGTAACACTGGAATGGCAGAAAACTTTTTTTTCCTTTACAAATTAAAAATAATAAAATGAAAAAGCAAATGCCCCCACCCCTTGCCTTTAAGGTTAAAAAACAGAATTATCAAAAAAACCAAAAAAACAGAACTATCAGTATCTTAGGAGTCCCTGAAATTGCCATCAACCTCGTGATTGTGTAAATCACTCTTTCACTATATGTGTAAAACTTTCTTTATTTTATATATATATATAAAATATATATATTATAAAGTGTGCCTCTTTATACATATCATTTCATTTGTCACAAGTGTGTCTTTGTTATTGGAAGGACAGGAAAGAAATTTGTTAAAGTCTGAAAATCAATAAAATAAATAATGAAATTAACTCTGCCCCCTACCCCCTCCTAGGGACCCACCACGCTCTCACCCTGCCCCCGCCCCAACTAGGATAACCAAAGTGATGAGCAGGTGTGTGCAAGTATACACATATAGGAATTCTAACTTGAATGTCATTTACTATTTGGTACAAGTGGGCTCACATTACTGATGTGGTTCTGTCACTTGCATTTTAAAAAATGAATAATGCTTCATAGGAGCCCTTCCTGCTGGTACATTTAAGTCTAAAATCATCCGTTATAATAGTTGCTCAATATTCTGTTGGAATAGGGAAGGAAGGTGCCAGAACTTTGCAAACACTCCCATGTTGGGGAGTACTTGCTATGCCTCTGGGTTTTGCCCCCTGCAAACGATGCTCTGTGTACATCCTTGAAGACATTTCCTTTGGTGCAGATCATTTTGTTTCTGTAGGACAGAATTCTGAAAGCAGGAGGCAGATCACCAGGCATGAGTACTTTAAATGTCAACAGTCTAGCAGATCCATTCCTTGGAAAGTTGTAGCAACACCACACTCCCACCAGCAACGTCCTATGGGGAGTATCTGCTTCTCTGCTTTCTCCCCAACACTGATTTTTTCTCCATTTTATTTTTATTTGTTTTTGGAAGGGGGAGGAAATTAAGTTTATATATTTATCATTACTTTTATTTTTTAATGGACGTCCTTGGGCTTGAACCCAGGACCCTGTGCATGCTAAGCAAGCACTCTACCACTGAGCTATACCCTCCTCCCAAATCAGCACAGATTTTTTACAATTGGGTTAACTCTTGCCATCCAAGATGGGTAAAACAAACAAACAGACAGACAAACAAAAACTTTCTTATCGTTGCTTTAATTTGTATTTTTTCCTTGTTGGCAAGGCTAACAAGTTTTTCCCGGCTGAGTAGATAATTGCATTTTCTGCTCAGTGAGCTGTCTGCTCACAATCTTTGAGTATTCTTCTCTGGGGCCGTTGCAATTGTGCCATTAACAAAATTGTGACATCAGTTTTATCAGGACTCTGCATGTTAGAGCAGTTCCCCTTTTGGGGCCCCCATAAGCAGCAGACAAGAATTCGGTCTTTGGATCAGTGAGACCCAGGTCCCCTGCTCACTTGAGTTTGCTCCCCGGGAGGGGGAAAGTCATGTCTCTTCTTGGACTCCGTTTTTCTTCTTTAAAATTAGGTTAAGGGTTTCCTGGATCGCTTTAGGGCTGTTGGGAAGATTAAGGAGAAAATGTGTCATGTGCCCAGCAAGTGGGTGTCAGATGTCATTATCAACAGTCAAGTCTACAGGAATATGGAGTTGCTCAGTGGTCACATGCAGCATACCTGGGGAGCCTGGTCACACCTGAGCCACAAGGGTGGCCACAGGGGATCATATGACCCATGGGCACGTCAAAGGTGCTGCCCTGGGACAGTGCTGTCACAGCACACTGACCTGTTTCGTGCTGACTGGGCCATGCCTGAGCCGGGCCTATGTACTCTCTGCCTGGGAGCCCCATTCTCTTGAATGATGGGGACCTCAAAACCTGACTGGAGCAGAGTAACCTCTAAATAGGGGCCATAGAGGGGGAGGGGGAGGGGAGGGGATGGGCCAGGATCCTGAGATGTAAGGTCTGTTCCTTTGCCTGGGGCCCCTAGCAAGCTGACAGGCCCAAGGAGGTGGCACTGGGGACACGGCGGGAGAGGCTCCCATTTCTTCCAGGCTTCCCTAGTGCCTGGCACTGCTCACATTCCTCTCAACAAGCCCACATGATGCAAACAATTATTATCCCCTTCTTACTGGGGCTCAGAGAGGTGAGGTCACTTCCGCAAGATCACACAGCCAGCAAATGATGGAGCTGGGATTTGAACCCAAGTCTCCCTGAGCCCCCAACTCCACCCTCCTAACCATTACCCCTCACAGTCTGGCTAATAAGAAAGGTAACTGCTCTTGCTTCCAGTGGGTCAGTCCACAGTGAGCACATAAACCAAATGCCAATAGGATGTGTCACCCAGAATTCTCCAGGGAGCAGCCTTAGCCAAGTGGCGCATGCTTAGAAGGCATGAATGCTAACACTTACTAAGTGCCAGTAAGTTTCAGGTGCTGTGCAAGAGTCATTAACCTCCCGGCAGCTCTACAAGGCAGGTCCTGCTCTTGGTTCCTTTTTGGAGTTGAATAAACTGAGGCACAGAATGGCACATCGCTTTGGCCAAGGATTCCCAGCCCCACACCCCTGGGAATGAGGACTAGAGTGGGGACACAGGTCCCAGTCTGTGTCTGTACCACCTGTCTTGGGGAGATAAGGAATGAAATTAACTGGCAGAGCAGCTGGGAATTGGTGGAATGTGCCCCCGGTGGTGGCTGTGATGGGTGGCGTCGACAATACTGCAGAACTGAGTTCAAATCCCTGTTCTGACAGTTCTTAGTTGTGGGACCAGGCCAAGTCACTTCACCTGCTTGAGCCTCAGTTTCCCCATCTGTAAAATGGGGATAGTAATAGCGGGGCCCTCTTGGGTAACTGTGAGGGTTCTGTGATAGAACGTGTTCACAGGTTTGGATTAACAAATGGTAGCAATGATTGTTATTCATGCCGAGGGAGGGGTTCCTTTCTAGGGATGGGAAGGGAGCTGGAGTGTCTCCTCCAGTCCAACTCACCAAGGGTATGGCAAGTGGTGGGAGGGCACCCTCAAAGCTTTAAAAAGTTGCTTTGGGAGCAAATCAGACTATCCTATTATCTCAAGCTACCCTGTCCCCTCGTTCACTGTCCTCCTTTCTGTTCTTCCAAGACCACCCCCATCCAGCCAGGAAGTTCAGAGCAGCCCAGTCGGCCACCCCCATCATGACTCTGACCACTTACCAGGTCTTGGCTAATCTTCCCCAAGTCCTGCCTTTCTCACACCCTTTACTCCCCAGCTCAAAAACCATCCATGACTCCCCATGGATCCCAAAAGCTCACTGTCCACCATCTGTCTTCAACCTATCCTTCTGGACTACCTTCCACTCTCATCCTCTGCTTACAGAAAGTTCACAAGCACACACCCTGCAGGTGCCAAGCTCTGAGTCAAGCTCCTGGCAGGCGGAAAGCTGAAGATGGGGCTCGTCATCGGATCCAGCCAAGCCGGTTTCCTCACTGCCCCAGAGTCAGCCTTGCACAGGCTGTACACTCACTGCCAGGGATGCCCTCCCCTCCGTTTGATTCTAACCCAACTCTGTCCAAAGTTGGAAATGGCAGAAACCCGCTGCAGGAAACCAAAGTGTGATTGATCTAACCTACCGCTGCTTGAAGACGCAGATACAGACATTGACATGTGGATAGACAGAGGGCTATAGACAGACATACAGACAGAGAAAAACATATGGGCAGGCAAATGGGTATACTTACAGACATATAAACAGGCATACACATAGACATGTAAGTATATGCATTTAAACAGACCTGTAGGATTTTTTTTAACATCAAAAGGAGAATGACTATAAAACAGAACAGGACAGAAATTTGGAAGCCCGTGTTGTGTTGTGGTGTCATGGTGATGTTGTAGACAGTTCTAATTTGACACAGTAACTCCAGATTTTTCTCTAAGGGCCAGTTTTGAAAAATTTGTTTCAAGAAAATCTTAAAATCAAGTAAGAAAATAATTTGTCTTTTTTTATTGAAGTATAGCTGGTGTACAACATCATATACAGGTGTACAATATAGTAATTCATGGCTTTTAAAGGGCATATTCTATGTATAATTATTATAAAATATTGCATATATCCCCTGTGCTGTATGGTATATCCTTGTAGCTTATTTATCTTATACATAGTAATTTGGACCTCTTGATTTTGTCCCTCTCATCCTCCCTCTCCCCACGGGTAACCACTAGTTTGTTTTCTGGATCTGTGAGTCTGTTTCTTTTCTGTTATATTCACTTGCTTGCTGTATGTTTTAGACCCAACATAAAAGCAATATCACGCAGTATTTGTCTCTCTCTGTCTGGTTTATTTCACTTAGCATGATGTCCTCTAGGTCCATCCATGTAGCTGCAAGTGGTGGGATTTCTTCCTTTTGGGGGGCTGAGTAATATTCCATTGTGTATAGATACCACATTTCTTTTAGCTATTCATCCATCAGTGGGCACGCAGGTTGTTTCCACATCTTGGCTGTTGCGAATGAACAGGGGGGCGCAGAAAGCTCTTTGAGATTCTGATTTCAATTCCTTTAGAAATGGGATTACTGACTCATATGATAGTTCTGGTTTTAATTTTTTGAGGAACTTCTATACTGTTTTCCATAGTGGCTGCTCCAATCTCCATTCCCTCTAGCAGTGCACAGCAGTTCGGTTTCACCATATCCTGACCAGCACTTGTTCTATTTTTAAAATTAATTAATTATTGTATTACTTAATTATTTTTTATTTTGGCGGGGGGGAGGTAATTAGGTTTATTTTTAGAGGAGGTACTGGGGACTGAACTCATGCACGCTAAGCATGTGCTTTACCATTGAGCTACACCCTCCTGCAATATTTTGGTTTTCTGATTATAGCCATTCTAATGGGTGCCAGGTGATATCTTGTGATTTTCATGAGCATTTCTGGAAAGGGTGGTTTCTGAGGACTTCCCAGGGTACAGGGGCCACTAGGCTGGCCACTGCCACCAGCTGGTTCTGCTTGAATTTGCCTCAATGGCCCTGAGATCACAGCCTGTCCTTTGCCCAGCCTCTGTGACGCCCCAGCTTCCCTGACCATCTCCAGCAGCCTCCACCTGACCCCTTCCCCAAGGCCAGGTTCCTCCCTCCCTCCCTTTGTTACCCTATCCCCCACTCACCTGGGGCACAGACTTTGCCCCAACATTCCCAGACACTTGTCCAGAAGCCTGTCACTCCCCTGGCTGTCCTTTATCTCTTGGGGCCTCAGAGGGGGAAGGATGGTGCCCCCTCCTTTGTCCTCGCAACCCCACAGCTCTCCATGTGTTCATTTGTGAGGCGCGGAGGGGGAGAGGGAGGAATGAATGATACCACTGTAGACATGCTTTCATACGCTCAGAAAACACCCGAAGGACACACAGACACATTGCCTAGAACTCTGTGTCCTCCCAATGACCTCCCCTACAGCCCACCCTGCTCCCCCTATAACTGTCCCCATCTCTTCACCCCTCCCCCCTCCAAGTGCCCAGACAAAGTAAAACTGGAGTCCTCCTGGATCCCTTCACACTGCCCACCCCGACTCTTCCCTCAGCAAATCCTCCCCTGAGAATAACAGAAACAAAACGTCCCCCGCCTGACTGCCTTTCACCTCCTCCATGGCCACCCTGGGCTGAGTGCCCAGAGGGCTGTAGGACCCGCCAAGGTCCTACTCCACACCCACTAGCGGGGGATGGCTGTGACTTAAAAGACATATTAGCAGGTGCTGGCGAGGATGTGGAGAAAACGGACCCCTCCGATGGTGGTGAGAATGTAAAAGGGTGCAGACGTTTTGGAAAATAGTTTGGCAGTTTCTCAAAGTGCTAAACATAGATTTACTGTATGATCCAGCATATTAGTCAGCTTGGGCTGCCTATCGAAATACCGCAGACTGGGTGGCTTAGACAAGAGACATTTAGTTCTAAATTTCTGGTGGCTGGGAAGTCCAAGGTCAAGATGCCATTGTTTTCAGAATGGGCTTTTATTTAATTCAGTGTTTCTAAACATTACTGTCATTATTTTAATGCTCAAGTTGTCCCAATTTTAGCCCGTGGGAGCCCCCTTCAAGCTGGCTCCTGGTTCTTCTGACATGTCCCCATCCCTTTTTGAGTACCTCCTTGCTTTCAGACACAACGAGATACTCCAGGCTCATCTTTCCACCCCCCGCACTTTCCCAGTTTTATTGCAATGTAATTGACAGATAGCACTGTATAAGTCTAAAGTGTAAACATAATGATTTGACTTATGTGCATCATAAAAGGATGACCAGAGTGGGATTAGTGAATTTCCATCATTCATGTAGGTACAACATTGAAGCAATAGAAAAAAGTTTTTTCCCTTGTGATGAAAGCTCTTAGGATTTATTCTTTTGATAACTTCCACGTACAACATACAGCAGTGTTAATTACCTTTATCACGTACATGACATCCCTTTATCTTATAAGTGGAAGTTTGTCACTTTTGACTGCCTTCGTCTAGTTCTCTCGCCCCTCCATGCCGCCTCTGGTAGCCACAAATCTAATCTCTTTTTCTATGAATTTATTTGTTTTTGAAGTCAAATTGACCTACTATACTATGTTAGTTCCTTGTTCACAGCATTATGACTTGATATTTCTATACATTTCAAAATGATCATCATGATAAATCTAGTAGTCACCAGTCACTATAGAAAAATATTACATATTTGTTGACTATTTTCCCTATACTGTACATCATTTATTTTGTAACTACAAGTGTGTACCAGCCCCGAAGTCAACCACTTTTGCACACCTATCAGCCATACATGTGTTCTTGTTTTCCCAGGCTAAACCAAAAAAAAAAAAATATATATATATATAATCAAGCTTTTAACTTTTTACTAATCTTATAGGTGAGAAGTGATATTTCAGTGTAGTTA